GTCAGACGCAGCCCCTGTCCCACCACCCTTCCCTTCGTGGACTTCACTGCGAACGAGCAGGCTGCGGCCACCTGTGAACGTCTCTTGCGTGGGTGTTGCTCTCCTGGTTGCTTTGTACCTTTTCCTTTCTATGCTTTAAATTGAATCTCTCTCTCTCTCTCTCTCTTCCCCTCGCCCCGTATGTGTGTACGTTCTTGTGTGTAGGTGTCTGCACATGGGGAAGCCACATTGCTCCCACAGATCAAGATTTGAGCTAGACTGAGCAGCCGGCAAACCCCATGGATCCCCCTGTTCCCGAGTCCCCAGGCCTGAGGACACTTGGAACATGCAGAATCCTACAGTGTGTGATCTTTGGAGTCTGACTTGTATTACAGAGTGGCTCTTTTGGCTCATCCATACTGCGCCATCTGTCACTACCCCACGGCCCTTCCGCGGCTCAGTATGGCTCACTGTACGGTTTACCGACTAGTCAGACAGACATGTGAGCTGTCTCTGCTGAGTACCGCAGACAGCGCAGCTATGAAGATGATGTGAACACATCACCCCCATCCTCCCTCCCTCCTTCTGCCCTTCTGCTTTCACGCGTCCCTTCCTTTTTCCACCTACCCCCTCCCCCAGCTTTCCCTAGAGCCCTTCCTTTCCTTCCCTTTCACCTGATTAACCCTGGCCACAGTCGGCCATTTTTCAAGCAAATATATAACGTACTTTGAGCATCCCCACCCCCGTGTCCTCTCCCCCTTCCTCTCACGCCCCTCCCCATCCCTCTTGTCAACCGGGAGTTTCACTTCTACTTCCATGTCGTCTGTACATATATGACTGTGTGTGTCTATATAAAATCTAGGACTCACAAATGAGAGACATCAGGAGATGTTTCTCTTTCTCAGACTGAGTCAGTTCACATAGTACCATCAGTCACAGTTACATCCGTTTTCCTGTAGGGGACACAACTTTCTTGTTCTCTTCCGTCTCCTCTTCCTCCTCCTCTCTTCAGTTTTAGTGGACGTTTACTTAGCCAAGCCAAGCAACATAAACACTTCAAAGAGAGACTGGAGCAGGCTGCTCCAAGGCAGGGGACTTCATTCTGTATGGCTGAAAACACTTCCATTGTGGATAAGCCACATTTTCTTTACAGGCTTCTCTCTTGCTAGACACCTGGGCTGGCCCTGTCACTTAGCTATTAGGAATCGCGCTACAATAAACACCTACGGGAAAGCGTCTCTGTGATTCTTTGACTTGGAGGCCCTCAGGTACCAGGAGTGAGATGGCTGGGTGATGTAGTAGTTCTATTTTAAGTTTTTGGAGGAGCCTCCATCTCGATTTCCATATGGCTGCGCCCGCTGGCATTCCCACCACTCGGCATAAGGGTTCCTCTTGCTCACATCCCTGCTGGCACGTGTCCCTTTCTAATTAGGCAGCGTGTCTGTGTGTGTGTGTACAAGTGCAGGCACCGTGGAGGCTGGAGGGGACAGCTCTGGCGCTAGAGTTGCAGGCGGCTGTGAGCCACCCAGCGTGATGCCAGGAACCAAACTCGGGTCCTCTGCAAAAGGATCCGGTGCCCTAAACTGCTCGGCAGTTTCTCCCACCCTGCGTGGCATGTTTTCTTGGTAATAACCCTTCTGGCTGGGATAAAATGGGCTCTCAATATAGTTTCAAGTTGTATTTCCCTTCTTAAGTAAGGATGTTGAACAGTTTTTCAAATATCCACTGGTCATTTGTGTTTCTTTAGGGCTGTATTCAGTTCATCTGCCCACTCAACTCACGGATGGTTCACTTTTTAATTAAAATAAAAACGCCCTCACAGATTCTAGGCATCGTGGTTGGCAAAGATGCTCTTTCATTCTGTAGGCACCTCTCCATTCCGCTGATTGCTTTTGCTGTGCAGCACGTTTCCTATAATATGCAACCCCACGTGTCTGTTCCTGCTGTTATGTCCTGAGATCCTTTTGCAGAAACGCCTCGCCTGTGGGGGTTACTTTTAAATGTCCACTTGCCACAACCCAGAATCACTGAGGGAGAGCGCCTCCGTGAGAAACTGTCCAGGTCTGGTCAGCTTGTGGGCCAGTCAGCTGCGGAAGACTGGCCCCGCCTACTGTGGGTGGCACCATTCCTTAGGCTGGGCCCTGAACCGTGTGAGAGAGAAGATGGCTGAGGGAGAGAAAAAAAGCAGGCCGGCAGCATGGCTGCATTTGCTCCTCTCTGCTCCTGATTCTGTCTTCCCTGCAAGGACCAGCTTTAACACGGAGTTGTAAGCCAAATAACACCCTCCTCCTCAAAGACACGTCTGGGCAGGGTCACAGGAACGGAAATGAAACTAGGCCAGGATCTGTGCCTAGATTTTGTTTTCCTCTAGCTGTTTGTTTCAGGCCTCACATTGTGGCTCTGACCCATTTTGAACAACTTTTGGCATATAGCTTTGTTCTCCATTTACTCTTCTCCCCATTTACTGTCTTTTCTCCAGTGTATGTTTTGGATGCCTTTGCCAAATATTAGGTAAGCAGTAGCTAGCTAGGTGAGGTCATTCCTATTCTGTTTCACTGGCCTACATTTCTGAGGTTGTAACAGTACCATGCTGTTGTTACAATGGCTCTGTAGCATAATTTGAGATCAGGTATTGTGATACCTATATCATGGTTCTGTTTGTCATTATTCTGGCTGTTCAGGGTATTTTGTACTTCTATATCAACTTCAGGGTGTGTGTGTGTGTGTACTTTTGTTCTGTGAAGAATGTTCCTGGAGCTTAGTTGAATCTTTTTCTGAGAAAGTATTCAAAACATAAGAGCTTCAGAAACCTAAGTATAAGCCAAACCAAAGATAAAAGATTCCTCTGATTCAATTAATGCAAGAAAACCCTCCCTAGTCATGTCCACAGGCCAACCTGATCTAGACAGTCCCTCCCTTCCCAAGAGATTCTATATTGTGTTAAAGTGTTAAAAAAAAAAAAAAAAAAAAAAACTGAAAATAGATGATTGGATCTGATTTCCAGTCTGTTACATTATATCTTTTGCTTAAAGAATTAAGACCATTTGCATTTAGGCATAGGGAAAGATTTGCTAGTTGCTGTAATTGTTTTTATTGTTTGTTTGGACTATTGCCCCTTTCTTTCTCCCAGGGGTTTCTGGCTTGCTGTGTTGGATCCTTTCCTAGCTCTCTTTTGTTCATACAGTTGCTGTATGAAGTATTCTCTCCTCTCCTGTCTCCCCTGCTCTGTGTTTAGGGCTCCTTTAAGTGTCTTCTGGAGCGCTGGCTCAGTGGTCGTGGACTGCTGAAGTTCCTTGTGATGTCCTCACTGTTCTCTGAGTTTAAGAGAATTTTGCTGGATGTAGCCATCTCTGTTGGTGGTTCTTTACTTTCAGGACTTGAAATGATCTGATGTTTCCTGGCTGGGGGTTGGGGGGGGGGGGGGTCTATCGAGAGGTCTAAGGTTATTCTGATGTTTCTCTGTACTCTTCTCTTGCAGCTTTTACTACTTTTGCCATCCCAATCATTAGGTGCCATAGTAGGGTTCTCTGATCACGTCCATTTGGGCTCCAAATGATAGATTTGGGGATTCTCTGCTATAATACTCTCTCTCATATGTGCACGTGTGTGGGTGTGCTTCTCCACCATGCATTAAAGGAGGCAAGAGGTAGATGTCTGGGGTCTTCCTCTGCCTCTCCACCCATTCACCCAGCTACCCACCCATTCATTCATTGAGAAAGAGTCTCTTTTAACCTGGCGCTTTGCTGTTTTTGCTAGACTAGCACAGCATGCCCATGGGCCCCTGGGATGCACCCCACCCCTTCCCACCATCCAGCCATCCATTTCCACGACTGTGACTTCAAACATGTAAAGAACCACCTTGTAAGCTTATGCCTGATATTTTGTCAAAGTGATGGAACGTTAGCATAAAAACATTTGAGACAAACTGGCACTCTTACGCTTTTATGAACATGGTACACCTCTCCACACCTAGATTTCTATTTACTCTTTTGAGCCTTTGCAGTTTCCTCCACAAGGGAATTGTACACATTTTATCAGATTTGCTCTTAACTGGCTAACAATTTGGGATTGCTTTCAATCTCTTAAAACATTCTTTCTAAACAGGTACTTATGAGCTCGAAATTTTCCTGCTTATTCTTTCTCCCTCACCCAGGTTTCCTTCTGAAAAAGCAATGCTGCAGGTTAGTTTCTCGTTTGCTTAGTAGTAGATGGCATTTACACTGACTTTTAAAACCTTTGCCTTCATTTTATGTGTCTGGCTGTTTTGTCTGCATGTGTGTCTGTGCATCATAGGCATGCCTGGTGCCCAACGAGGTGACAGATCCCATAGGGCTGGACTCACAGTTGCTTATGCGCCACTATGTGGCTGCTGGGAGTTCAAACCCAGTCCCCTGGACCAGAGCTCTCAACTGCTGAGCATCTCTCCAGGCCCTGACTGTGCTATTTAATGCCGTAGGTAGAAATCCAATTGAGTTCTGTTAAGAATCTGCATGTTGTTTTAGACTACACATAGATACATGGGCAAAAACCATTGTTTTCTCCCTCCATTCCGATGCCTTCCAGTGTCACTGTGCGGCTGGATGACTCCACAGCAGCAGGGACAGATCCCATCCCCCAGTGGTTCCGAGGCTCCCGCTTCATGCTCCTCACACTTTCTTGGTGTTCCCGGTGGAGGCTCTTATCAGGGTTACAAATCAGGTACTGGGCCTGGAGAGGCAGCTCAGCAGTTAGAACTGTACGCTGCCCTCGTCCAGGACCAGCCCGGGCAGCCTGCCAATCCAGCTGGAGGACCCAATCAATGCCTCTTCTGCTCTCTGCAGACACCCCACATGCATGAGCATGTGTGTCCATGAACACACATCAAGGTATTTTAGAATGGGATCTATATTGCTGAGAGGATCGGATTTTACTATTCTCTACGCTTTTCATTTTCCTTCCTGAGAAATGTGCTGAATCACATCAGAAAAGTCGTCTCACAACAGTTTGACACCAAGTTATGTTCACGAAGGAGAAAAACATCCTTTGATAGTGAAAATATATTTATTTGTCTTAATACAATAGCTGCCAGCAATATACTGGTGTTGATGTTCCAGAGAGAAGAAAAATGCAAGCATTCTGTAATAAGCTTTCATTCCTACCCAAGGAATTCTATAAAGAAATACTCCAATCCTGTTCAGCATTATGACTTGGGAGCTGAATTTTCATGGCTTGGGACTTAAATTTTTTCCATAATAAAATAATTTTAGTTGCTCGCACTTTGATAATTGTAACAATGAACCTTTAGAAATCTACTGTGGGTTTCACTAACAAATGCCCTCTCTGAACCAAATCTTGATTATTGTCAGCCCACCAAACTGGTGAATCCACTACAACCCGATGTGTGGACCAAAATCTTAACCAAAAAAAAAAAAAAAAAAAAAATTTCTACTTCCCCTCATTTTTTCTTTGTAGATATTTGCTAAATGGGGTTTTTTAAATATTCAGAAATAAATGCTATCTACATGCAACTCTGAGGAGATTCTGGAAGTATGACTCAACAGAAGTATAAATGCCTAAACTCTAGAGCTGATCCACCTCGTGCACACAGCAGTCGGAACCTCTTAATGTATGCAAACTGCGGTTCAGAGCTATGAAAGCCAGTGTTCTCCCATTTGCATTGTGCTGAAAGGCTGTATGTACATCAGAAAGGACATTACGGTTCTTAGAACAGAGGCTTCCCCACTATTTCAGTTTCTCAGTAGCCACTGGAAAATAGGAAGACTCCGCTCGAATCCGGCTCCAGGATGAAGGGCTCCGAAAGAAAGGAGGCTAACCAGAAGCAGAGGGGCAAGTCACCAGGGTGGACGTGAGGCCAGATGACTTCCATCCATCAGTCCTCACACTGCATCAGCTGTGCGGAAACACCTCACAGCCCAAGCCTGGAAGCCAGGACCTCCGCAGGGGGAGGAGGGAGTGCCTGCTGTGGGGGCTTCCTGTTTACATCTTCCCGCCATTCACCCATCTCCAATTTGTTTGGCTTTCTTGGTATAAAAATGTCTCTCTCTCTAGAGAAAAACAATTCTACCTTCGTCAAAACCAAGATGGACGGTCCTTCCTTGGACCTCTGGAGACAGCAAGAGCAACCACGAGGCAATTTAGGAAGCAGCAGAGGACAAGCCAACGGGTGTTGGCTTCTCTGGCAGTTTCGGCACGTGCCCCTCGCCATCCTGCACATCCTCTGGGGGAGCAGCACAGCTCTTCTTCCCGTAGCCCTCCCTGAGCCCTTCTCTGGTGTCTGAGACTCAATCCCACACAAGGCCAAGCTGTCACTACGTAAAGTCGGGAACCTTCCACCCACAGACCACAGAGACACGGCAGGGTCGTTTCTCTGTGAGGAGACAGTGTGCTGGAAGCAGACCCATCAGCACCCGGCATTTGCAGGTGGCGGGTGTGCACACCTCAACAACAGTGAGAGTGAAAACTGTGGCCAAGGCACCTCCCTGAGCACGGGAATGCACTGAAAAGCTGTCCCCGTGCTCAGCCCATTTCCAGTAAGTTTTAAAAGGGAGCTGCTTAAGAGTCAGAAGGCGTCCATTACCAGGTGTGAGCACACCAGGAACCGGCCACCTTAGCGCAGCAGGCTGCAGGGTGGAAACAGTAGTTCTTGAATAGCTTTGTTCAAAAAAAAAAAAAAAAAGGCCCGAAACACAGCAAAGTCCCAAGCAGGCCCTGGAGTAGTACTTAGAAAGCCCATTTTGTTTGGGTGGGAGGGGATCTCTACTGTTGCCAAGCTCATTCTCCTTTGTTAAACTACCAATAACTTTCAGCTTCGACTTGGTTTAAAAAACAAGAAAACAAGCCAGGCATGGTGGTGTAGGCCCATCATCCTGGCATCCAGGAGGCAAATGCAGGGGGACTGCCACAAGTTCGAGGCCAGCTTGGTTTACCTATCAAGTGCCAGGCCAACCAGGGCTGCAGGGTAACATCTTGTCTCAAAACAAAACAAGCGGCAAGGAAAAAAAAGAGGGAGAGAGCCCTATTCCTCAGTGTGGTGAGTGGCATTAGGCCAATCCACGGGAATATACACTATGACAAGTTATCCCAAGGGCAGATGACCTCTCACTGGGGTTGAAGAGGAGCGTGTGACCTGTGCTTTGGGAGTTTAAGATGGGGCGGATGATGTAGTCTTCACCTGCTCCAAAGAATCCACTTTCCGAGTAAAGTGTACTTGGCATTTCAACAAGTTCACCCTGAGCCCGGTTAATGTGAGTGGTTCGTAGGCAGTTACCCGGCTGAGTCAGCCTGTGCATGTCTGTGCTCACAGACAGGAAGACAGCCACCAAGAAAGGAGCTCGGCACTCAGAGGGAGGGGGCTTGAAGCAGCTCAGGGACAGAGCTTTGTCAGGCCTACACAAAGCCCTGGGCTCCATCCCAAGCACCAGAGAGAAAGAGACAGACAGACAGACAGATAGAAAGAGACAGGGGCAGGGGGGAAAGGGGGAGGAGGAAAGGAGGGAGGGAGGGAGGGGAGGAAGGAGGGAGGGAAAGAGGGAAGAGGAGAGAGAAAGTCTGTTACAGTGAAGGCAGCAATACTGTTGTAATGTATGAACAGCCCTGGGTGAAACCCACACAGCAGATAACAAAATAGACATAGAGAACCCACCCTTCTTCTCGCCTTCCCAGTCTTTCAATTTCTACATAGTACAGGATGTTATAAATTTATACAAATGACACATTGTAGGCAAAATTAACTATCTACCAAGAAACCAGCAGTCTCTACAGAAGGCAGTCTTCTCTGAGGACCGCAAGGCCCCTCAGCATAGCCCAGACCACACTGAAACAGTGTCTACCCAGCAGCAATCCTTCCGTATTCCTCACTCGATATCACAGCTCCGCCAATGCATAAATATTCCTTGTACCAAGCGTCTACGCCAGCGTGGGGTCCGCTGGTGTCACGGCCACTATTCTAATGGTTGGACACTGCACCTCAGGTTCTGCCATCTATACCGTGAACAGATGGGATGGTTGGGGTTCCTCTCGGGTGACACACTTGTGGCAGGGGGCCTCCAAGCTGGAGGATGGCGGATGGGCGGGGCAGGCGGGCCGGGTAGAAGACTTTAGAATAATACTGCTTAGGAGTGTGTGCTGAAGAGAACTACTACACTTGGTCTACCCTTAATCCTAGTCTTGAGTAACTGCACCTTCATGCAAAATACACTTCTACTTTAGAGGAGGCAGAGCAGTCTGTTAGGAAAGCGACCTCGTGGGGGATCTGAAGGCGTCTCTCTCAAAGTGCTGCTTTTACTTGGCGAGTCTCTTGGCAACATCGCTGTACGCGATCTCCACCTCCTTGTCGCTGGGGCAGGTGTTGGTGAACTCATCCCTGCTATAGGCGTTTGTCAGGTATCTCCAGATGCCCGTCATTCCTTTAGGAATGTCGAAGTTGCGGTACTTTTTGGCCACCACCTGAAACATAAGGCGTCAACAGTTACATCTGTCCTCTAAGGCCCCACACTAGGCATGTCTGGCCGGAGCAACTAACAATGGTGGGAGCCTGTATCAGCAGGTTCTAGGGGCGGAGCTCTTCCAGAGGACTGGAGTTCAGGTCCCAGCACCCATCTTGGGCAGCTCACGACTGCCTGCGACTCTGAGAGGGGAAAGGCGCCCACTTCTGGCCTCCCGGGTTACCCAGGTAAGCGCGCCCACTCCACAGCTCATGTGTGGCCTAGGACTGCACACTCCTCCCCGTGCCTGGAAACTCAACAGTGGCTATGAAAGCCTGCGTGGACCTGGGTTGATGGCTGAGTATAACTGCTGGATTTTTTTGAGACAGGGTTTCTCTGTGTAGTCCTGACTGTTCCGGACTCGCTTTGTACACCAGGCTGAACTCACAGAGATCCACCTGCCTCTGCCTCCTGAGTGCTGGGATTAAAGGTGTGTGCCACCTTGCCTGGATAAAGATTTAAAAAACACACACTATTTCATTGTCTTCCTTTTTCAGTTTGGCTGTTTTTGATACAGTCTCATAGTAGTTATGCTGGCCTTGGCCTCCTGAGTCTCCTGCCTCCATCTCCCAAATGCTGGGACTGCACAGGAGCCTCTGAAACAGTCTCTCTAGCCTTAGGTGTGTACTGCACAGCTAATGTTCGCTGTTATTACGATTAGCTTGGTGTCTCCTATAATAAACATGCTGACCTCAAACAGATGACGGGAGCCACACAGAATGACAGTGTAAGTCCAGTGAAGAGTTACCTATTACACCTTTGAGTTTTAATTCAGTCACAGAAAAAAAATATTTCTTGCTCAAGTCTCAATTTTTTTCTTCCTACGACAGCCTCAAGTAGCTCAAGTCCAGCCTTCAGAAAAAATCCCGATTCTCCTGCCTGCGTGCCAGGAGTACAGGTACCTAGCACATCTGAATTTTAAACACGGTTTTCTATTTGATCAGCTCTATGTTGTATTATTGACTGTGCCTACTCTGGCTGGTGTAGAGAATGGCTTCGGCAAGGGGTACTGCTCCGGGGGCGCCACCCGCTTCTGGGCAGGCCTACCTTGACAATGTGTAGTTTGGGCAGCAGGTTGCAGTCTGCTAATGTCATCTCATCGCCATCCAGAAATCTACGTGTGGAGAATTTGATGTCCTCCATGCTGTTCTCATCGATTTCGTCAGGGAGGGGAGAATTCAGATACTCATCCAGTTTCTGCAGCGTTTTCAAGAGCCCCCTCTCCAGTGCTGGAAGAGATGAGAGCGCCGTCAGTGAGGAAGGGCGGCCCCGAGCAGGAGCTGTGCCTCAGTAACTGTGACAATGTTCACGCCTACCCTGGGCTTCTGAGAACAAGGCCGCACAGGACCCAAGGCTCCTGCCCCCCGGAGCTTGCCTGCATGGGCACTGTGGCAAACGGGTGCTGCGATCACAGGCATGCGCCACAGAGACCGGCTTCTCTCCCCACTTTTTTGTTTTGTTGTTGCTGCCATTTGGGACAAACCCCCAGATACTGAACCATCTCCCCAGACTCCAGCGTTCTTTCTTTCGTCCTAATCCACCTCCACCACAATCCTCAAAATAAATGCAGTTATTCTAACATCTGGTTAAAAAAAAAAAAAAGGCTAAACACCATGCCATCAGCCATGGCAATACATACAGGTATAGGTCTGGACAAGGCTGGAGGCTTTAAACCAGAAGGCCAGGTCAGTGTTACCTGCTTCATGTCAGGTACTCCCCAGTAACAGAGATGTAACCTCACCTTAACCTTTATCACACTGCTCCCTCCCAGCTCAGCCCTCAACTCTGTGACAGTAGATGCAAGTCTTGCTATGTAAGAACTTACAGGGACAAGAAAATGAACGAATTTAAGAGACAAAAGGAGTCGGGAAGCCATGTGAACAGAGGGAAAGGGAATAGTCAACATAATATCTACTGGACATGTTCAACAAAACATAAGCGTGGCCTTGTACGCTGCGTCTGAGTGCTTGTTCGGAAGCTGGAGGAACCGTTTGGGAAGGATTACAAGACGTGGCCTTTTGGAGGAGGTGTGTCCCTGGGGATGTGGCCTTCTTGTCTGTCTGTCCCTCTGTCTTGTACTTGCAAATCAGACCTAAGCTCTCTAAGCCACTGCTCCAGCACCGCAGCTGCCTGCCAGCGCCATGCTCTGCTCTGAGGACCATGGACCCACCCTGTAAAGCTGTAAGCCCAATAAACTCGTCTCTATGTTGTCTTGGTCTCGGTGGCTTACAGAAAAGTAACCGAGACACAAACCTTTTGTTTCCTTTTCTCCTCTTAGGCTAATGCTCCCAGGAAAACGCTTAAGAGAAGGGGTGACAGTGAGTGCCTTTTTCTAACTCCTAATCTCAAGGAGGAAATGGGAGTCTCCCATTATTTCCCAAGTAGGGTGTTTGCTACAATTTTATACAGAATTTTCTACAGAAAACTGTAGCAAACACCATACTGTGAGCAACAAGGCCTCACTCTGCAGTCCTGGTTGGCCTCAAACTTGCTAGCCATGGTCTTGTGAATGATGGAATCATAGGAACCACCATGCCAGGCAGGGGGGGGGGGGGAATGAGTTTCTAAAAAATGTATGGAGAAGATGAAAAAGGAATGAAAGAAGGAAGGAAGAAAAAGGAAAGAAGAAAAAGGGAGGGGAGGAGAGGTCAAAAGAAGGAATCCTTTTGAAGTCAGGGAGGGGAGGGCTGGGGTGCAGACAGCCATGGGTCCTCCTGGTGCTCCTGCCCTGGGCCTGACCCTCCAATGCTATCACCCAAAACTGGTTAATTAAAGTGAGACACACGAGGAACTTTGTGCTTGTGGGGGAAGACGGGAATAAAGAAAACGTGGAAAGAGACTAGACAGACATTTTTACCTAGGGAAAGACTAAGTTTTACTGTGCTATCTCAAGTGACAGGTGACAAGCTCATAGTCTGGATTCATCAAGATCACCCTTCACTATGCACAGTGAAGCGGGTTTTTTGTTTTGTTTTGTTGTTTTTTTTTTGGAAAACAAATAAGCAGCAGAGGGTGCTAGAACTCAGAAATCAATTTGGCGAATTATGAGAACACAGCTGGACCTGGAGACACAGCAGGGAATAAGCAACTAAAACTAAAAATTAACAAACATAGCAATAGATACTACCTTCTGCTAATGTCATGCAAACCAACAGTAAAGCACATATAGCTACAACACAAAGTTTATGAACTAATTAAATCCAGAGTCAGAAACAGCTAGCAAGGAATTGAGGGCATGATGAAAATCTTTTTATGATCGTATTTAAAAGGAAATAGTACAATCTTTTCCTTTTTTTTTTTTTTTTTTTTAAAGAGGTGAGGGTATGTTGAGACAGTGCTTCTCCATGTAGCCCTGGCTGTCCTGGAACTTACTCTGTAGACCAGGCTGGCTTGGAACTCTAGAGATCCATCTGTCTCTGCTTCCTGAGTGCCACTGCCTGGGTAAGAAAAATCTTAAGACTAAATAAAATCCAGTGCAAATCAAGAGAGACAAATTGGTAATAATTTATGTTAATCATTATTTTTAAAATGTTTTTAAACCTTGTATTTTTGTGGGTGCTGGGCCTACGGGTGTGTCTGTACACTATGTGTGTACTGGACATCCTGAGACTGGAATTACAGAGAGTTTTGAGCAGCCATGTGGGTGCTGGGAATTGAACCCATGTCTTCTCGAAGAACAGTCAGCGCTCTTAACCTCTGAGCCATCTCTCCAGCCTCCTATGTTAATAATTATTATTAATAATTTATGCATCATAAGTATATGACAAAAAAAAAATACACAAACAGTAACTAGGAGGTCCCAAAACAGTGCTAACTGTTTTGAGCAAAGTTCTAAAGCTTCACCCAGCAAAGGCTAAGTCCTGAGGCTGAGAAACACCAAGACTAGCCACTGGGAGGCAGTAGCACGCCACCAGGAAGCCATCTGTCTGGAAGTGAGGAGGACTCTCCAGTCTCTCAGAAGCTAGTCCAAACCAACAAAGTGCCACGCAGAACACACAGCCTAACATTAATTATGAAAACAAAAAATGATTTTTAGCCTATGGAAATACAGAAGTTTAAAATGCAGACACAAGCAAGTCAGAAGTATATGGAAATGAGCACTTTGAGAGTAGTGGAAACACAAACTGTTACAGACCCGGCAAAACTAAAATGCCCAGCTGGACATGGTGGCGGAAGCCCGTAATCTGCATCCAGGAGAGCTGAGGCCAACAGCAAGATGCCAGCTCAGTAAAGGAGGAGAGGCGCACACTTGCCCACGCCTATCTGGAATTCCGCGCAGGGACATCCACTGGTCGCATGTCATAGACAAAACCTCTTGAGGCCATCCACAAGGTCCAGTGACTGGGAGCGCCAGGTGAAAGCTCTTAAGGGGCGTTTCTAAAGCTGGAGGCAAACTTGTTCTGATACGGAAGGACGAGGGGGTGGGGTGGGGGTACAAAGGGGATCCCTGCAGCCAGTCAGGTCTGGGATGCACGCTCATGTGCCCCTGCCTCGGCCTCCAGAGCGCTGGGACCAGAGAAGGCAGGAAGTGTTTCTAACATCAGTGATGTGGACATGCACACCAGTTTTGCACAAATGACTCCCACGCCCCTTGGGCCTGTTATGGTATTGCATACTGAACTCACACTGAATTTATCTTCCAAGTGTGAGCCAGGGAGGGTCAGGGAAGTGTCTTCTGGACAGGAAGGACCCCTTGCACTCATGAACTCACAGCAGCTGTGGTGGCCAAACCAGTCAGCATTTCAGCATGGGAATGGGGGAGACTCATGAACCCCCTAGCTCAGGAACTACTGACAGCCGATGTCTCCTGAGGGAGCAAGAGTCAGTGTCCTTTAAAGGTGTGGCTCCTGGCAGGTCATCCATGTTCCAGTGGATAGCCCCCCACACAGGAATATATGAACAGCACAGAGTGTAAACAGTAGGTCATTAAAAAAAAAAAAAAAAAAAAAAAGACATGAAGTTGAAAGCATAGGGAGATGGTGGTGACTCCGGGTGGAGTTAGTGGGAGGAAGGGGCTGAACAGGATCAAAATATGTGTGTGCATGTATGATAGTATCAAAGAATAACATTTTATTTAAAAAAAATTTTAAGCACTTTTTTAAAAATTAATTTTTAAAAAATTATCCCTGTCCATCCTTAGCTTTTCCAACAAGCATAACTTGCTCTGTTACATAATTTGAATGAGCAGAATAAGGCAAGAAAGGTAAAACATGACATAAACATTACTGTTGTTAAAACATATACTAGTTGAAACAAAACCAGTGTATGGCTTAGTGGCATAGCTCTTGGAGGTACGTGAGAAGCTCTGTGTTCTATCCCCAGCACAGAAGTTTAATTTTGAGAGGTCTCACTCCATCATCTGGCTGGCCTGGACTTGCTGTTGCCCAGTGGTGGTGAGATTAAAGGTGTGCACCACCACGCCTGGCTCATTTCTCTCCTAATGCTTAGGTTACATAAACCTACTCCCAGCCAGCTTGTACCTGTTACCAAAAGATTGATCTCTCTATCTATGTATCTAATCCGTCATTTCCCTCTGTTTTATTCTTTAAATCCTATTGTTCTACACAGTACCTCAATCTAAGCGTTGGTTGGCCTGGCTCACCAGGCTGATGCTACAGCACGTCTAGACATCTAAGCCCTTAGAACTAGGTCCCAAGGTTCTTATCCAAATGTACTAAATTTTATAAACATTTAGCAGGCTGGTAAAGCAAAGCCTTGTTATGAAAAAGTGGCGGCCCACCTCTGCGTGAACTGCGGGTGTGCGTGGGGTGGATGCTGCCCTGCCCAGGCGTACTAAAAGCATGCAATTGCTCTCAGCAAACAGAACCGCCACAAACACACAAGGGGACGGGCGTTCCGCTCAAATTTTATTCAAAAGTGTTTTCTAAAGGACCAGAGCAGTGATAGGCCCTTGTGGGGAAAAAGCAGCTTGGCAACTAGAATTCTTATTTACCAGTAGGTATTGAATATAAAGCCTTCCGTGTTGTGTGCTTGCTATGTCTTTTCTTCTTAGCTGCAGCATTCTAAAGATGGTAGGCGTAAGTGGCCACTTAAGGCAATAACAACTTGACAGATAAAAAATAGAATACTAAGTTACACTTATGTGAGTCACTCTCTCTTCCCCCAGCTTTCATCCCCCAAGGCAAAAAAAAAAAACTCATTTTATTCTCCTCTTCTCCCCACCATGTAGTAAAAGCAATCTGGCAATTCTCCAGCCCTCAAAAACTGCAAAGAAATAAAAGCATTATGAGTGTGCAAGCACAGAGGGCTGGTGAGCTAGCAGACCTGGGTATAAAAGCCAGCTTTGTGAACACAGTGGCCTCAACAAGCAGGCAGCAAAAAGACTACAAAAAAGGGGCTCCAACTGAACCATTTGCTTAGGGTATAAGTTGCTTAGACAGAAACATTAGTCAGGAAAACAGCCAATTACTCAAGAAAATTGCTTCTAAACCAAGGCAGCCATGGAACACATTATAAAAATAGATGTAAGCCGGGCCTGGGCACTAAAACTGCCTTTCTTCCCCTTCACTAAAGAAAAACATTTCAGAAACCAAGAGCAAAGACATGGAAATCCCACAGTGAGTTATGAAATGCTGCAGTCTTAAACCAGACATTAGGAAGGGGTATCGCTGGGAACTGCAATAACAGCGAAACCAGCAAGGGCTTCACATTTAGGCATTTGCTGCTATTAACAGCACTGGCCTCGGCCCCTCCCCGTGTGCTAGCCCACAGGCTGCCAGAGCCTTTGGAGCCCTGTCAGAACAGACTCAAAATATTTTTAGGGTGCAGACTTTTGTCTTTCATTTTGTTACTGCTCTAACTTTGGGGGTTTGGTGCTTTGATTTTGGGGTTTTTGTTTTTGACAGTTTCGTATAGTCAGGCTAGCCTCATACTCAGCATCTTTTAATAAAACAAACAAATTGTATGTGCACTAGTAACTATTCTCGCCATGATGATGACCTAAAACAAAATGTCTAGTTCAGGAGGTAAAGAAATCTAAAGGCTGGTAAGTCTAAAGGCCACTCCAAACATGGCTCATTGGGAGTAATTAGAGCACATATACACAACAGAAGCACAGGAGCTAATTTTAGGCTGCCAGTACCTCATAATAAACAAGAGATTTAGTAATCAATTAACCAAAGCTAAGTCCACCTCTTTCATCACCACAACTGCTCTGTCCACTGCCCTGGATGTACCTACCCTCAGTTCTCAGCAGAGCTCCCTTAAAGGTGACTCCTCACAGAGTCCGAGAACTCAGTGGCCTCCCTACACACCTACAGATGCCAGGCCCTGCAGCACGTGCCGGAAAAGCAGCAAGGCAGCACTGTAAGTGCTCACTGCAGGTCCCTCCCTCTCCTCCACGGACAGCACTGAGCTTACAGGAAAGCCTGAGCTTACACTCTGTCTTCATAGCAGCCCAAACTATTGCCTGGGCTTTTGTTTCCTTTTGCTTTCTGCTGTGGCAATCCAGTTTAAATTATTTTTTTTACCTTCATTCGCCTCTGGTCTTGAGTTCTTGATGTAGGCAGAGAATTTGGCAAAGATGTCCATTCCAGCAGTGTTTGACTCTGGGTGTTTTGGTGAAAGCTTTAAGTACCTAAATAAAAAAAGTGAGACTGGATTACAGGGCCTTCAGGATGAAATCAGCTCAAGTTCCATCCACCAGCAAGTCACTGTACTGGCAACAGACATCTCTGAACAGTTACTATCTAAGAAATGCAACCATCTGTTTTCTATGGTGCTTTTTAAATGACCCCACCCCTTAGGAAACAACTCTGCATGGTGTTTTTGTTACATCTTACTTGGCAATCAAAGGGCATGTACTCCCCACCTCCCTTTAATGATTAGAATGCTAAGGAAATGGTGCCTTGTTAAGGGATCTGGGCCAGGGGAACAGAGGTCCTAGAATGAGATTTCTCAAGCCGCCATCCAACGGAGCTTTCTGTGGTAGAGGGAATGTACCAGCATGCAACCATTAGTGCCAGGAGGCTATCAGAACACTTTAAAAGAACTGCAAAGAAATAAAGCAAGGCTTCCAAGGTTACACTAGTCACACTCAAACTCTCAGCAGCCAGGGACACGGCTCTCACAGCTGGGCACTTAGTATGCCAGGCACTGGCCTGGCCCTGGGCAGCAGCATGAGGGGCGCAGACAGCAGGAGGAGCCAGGCTGGTCAGGCATCTTGATCATCCACAGCCGGCTGAGGACAACCCAGTAGGAGGTGAACTGTTCACTTCCAGCCAGCACCAGGCTTCGCCCCCCACCCTGTGCTAACTATGCCCTGGTCTATTTAGGACACAGTGCTGTGCAACAGATAAACAGACGTCAGACATTATGCAGAATTGTCTTCTGTGTCGTGACCAAGTTTTCAACTTAAGAAAGAGGACACACCAGCTTTAAACACGTGTGCACACTCATGCACTTTACATGCTTAAATTTCAACCGACAAGCCTGTCAGTTGCTTGTTTTTTCCTCAGAGTGGAAAGTCTGTGGGGAAAGGCTTGGCTGCTCCTCCTCCCTTCAGCAGGGCTTGCTTCACCTCAGCGGCTGGGCTTGAGACATTCAGACCCTGAGCCCTGTTCCACAGAATATTAATCAGCTGGAAGGCCCTGGAAAACGGACTGTGAGGTAAAATTTCACACTAAACTGCCTATTTCAACTTATTCTGGAAGCTACATTCTGATCTATTTCCCTTAAAATAAAATGAAGGTGAAACAAAATTCAAAAGTCTCAAACTATATTACAATGTAACATTCTCTTTCATTCTGTTTTGTGACGCAAGGTCTCCCCCTACCCAAACACACAAACATGTATGTATTAACATATATCCTAAGCTGATCTCAAACTCAGTCCTCCTGTACCAGCCTTCTGAGTGTTGGAATCAGCGTAGTTTGTTTACATTTCCTCTGCTTGCTCTAGTGAATTCAATAAAGGGCTGTCTTCTAAACACTCAAGCTGGTTTTCTTTTTAGTAGAAAAGAAAACCTAGTCTCCAAATTTTCCAGTTTTTAACCATAAAACCATCTCCCATATCCATTAATTACACCAGGGTCTTAGTGAACAAATTTCAAGAATTATCTGAATCACCATGTGCACACGGTCTTCCTAACTAGAGCATTCTTGGCATCACATGAGCCGAGACAGGTAATCCCAAAGCCAACACATCTGGACTTTGCCTGACTTGGAAAACAATCAGCTTGCCGTTTCAGTGTTTCCAACAGCTCTCACATGGAAGACCTCACCGAGCACCCCAACAAGAGCCAGTACAGGGGACACAGTGCTTTTTCAGTGTCTTCCTCAAGCCCACTGTGCAGCATTACTCCTGCCAGGCATGATAGTGTACACTGTGATTCCCATACTTGGGAAGCTGAGGCAGGAGGATCACGAGTTTGAAGCCACAAAAAATAAAATGGCTTATCCTGTATGGAGCCAACCTCCGGATATGTCCCCTCTCCTCTCCTATCCTGTCCATCTCCCTCTCCTCTCCTATCCTCTCCCTATCTCTCCTCTCCTTTCACGCCTAGTAACAAAGCACAGTTCCGGTCTGGGGGCAGAGAGATGACGCAGAGATTACGATCACTGGCCAATCTTGCACAAGAGGACGTGGCTTCAGTTCCCAGCACCCATGTGGAGGCTCACAACACCTTCGTCTGGCTTCCCGAGGCTCCTGCACACACAGGTGTACAAATATATACACAGGCACACACACATCAAATAAAACTTTAGAAACCTCAAGTTTTAAAGCTTTTTGAAGAAGCAATTCCTATATTTAAAAAAAGAGGAAATAAATTAGTAACTTCATCATCATCATCATCATCATCCTTTCCCTTCCACCCTGTGGTTCTCCGGGAAAAGGTCTGTGAACTCAGCCATGCATGAGTGCCCACCGCTCGGCTGTGCCAGCACCTGGCCTGCAGGGATGGCATCTCGGCGCTCACAGCTCCAACCCTGCCTTTGCGCATGCTGGTCTACCTGCCGGCGCAGCTCTGCCGCCAGCCCACCCCGCTTAGCTCTGACGGGGCAGTGTGCAAACACAGCACAAACGACACTGGCCTAGGCTACATCAGACCTTGCTTTGATTTTTGAGGAGGAGGAGGGAGGAGAGAGGAGGAAGAACAAAAATAGAAAGCCTGTCTATATGAAGCTTTACTCAGAAACTCTTCAGGCTACAAGTAAAGAAAAAAGGAGATGCCCTAGGAAAGAACCCGCACTATGCGTGACCACTGAAACAGAACGACGTTTGTGCTTAAGTGGAAAGAAAAAACATCTCCAATAATAGCGGCTTTATAAACCTGCCCCCCCCCAAAAAAAAAAAACTAAAGAAGGAAATGAAATCTCTATATTATAAAAATTTGCAGGGTGTGAAGCAAGTGGATCTGAGTTCAAGGCTACAATGGCCAGCCAAGGCAATATAGTAAGGCCCTGTCTAGATAAATGCATAAATAAAAAGTGAAAATGTTTTTTTTCCAAGGTCCAATTCAGTACATTGGACTCCAGAAATGAGAATGTTTCGGTTTTAGCTCTATTTTTCCTGGAATCTGCTCCATCTGTAGTGTTATAACAAGAAAAAAAAAAAAAAAAGATTTTGTGGTTGTCGCTGCTGAAAATATATCACTTCATCCACACAGATTTTAAAAAACAAAATATAATATAGTTGGAAAACACACACAATGAACATCTCAGAAATGTTTCCAGTCAAATACAATTCCTTCACAGAGACTGGATACACTGGCCATTCAGGCCAACCAGCCTCTGACTAAGGCCATCTCCAGCCCCTCAACAGGACCCTTCCCAGATTATGCTAATTTTAGGTGGACCGCTGAACAAAATGCCACCAATCCCTGAGCAGGAAAACACACCAATCCCTGAGCAACCCCAGACTCAGGACTTGAGATCCCACCTCAAGATCCTCCATGGCCCGGCCCCCTAAGAAATCCTACATAAAAGCTGTGTCTGTGCAGTTTCCTCTGTCTTCTCTGGGAGCAGAGACAACTAACTCTGGATTCGTCCTTCCACGCCCTCCCAATATATTTCTTTTGTGAGATTTGCAGCCTGGTATGACTCTCTCATCTTGGCTTCGTGGAAGAAGCCAAGAAGCAGTGAAGAGAACAAGTGAAGGAGTGGAGCCGGGGCTGAGGCTCCTGAGCTCAGCTGAGAATACCCTCCCCAGGGAGCCACAATGCCTCTGCTGAGGGGGCTTCCTCCCAGAGCTATATGGTTCCTGGGCTTCTAAGTCCCAGGACACCGATCCATCCAAGTAGGAAGGCCAACAGGGCAAGTCACTTAAACTGCCTCTCCACTTAAAATTTAAGGTCAACACAATGACCCTGGCTACATGGAAAGATTACTTTCTGACTTTTGTTGTTTTGGTTTTTTTGGTTTTTTTTTTCCCAAGACAGGGTTTCTCTGTGTAGCCCTGGCTGTCCTGGAACTCACTCTATAGACCAGGCTGGCCTTGAACTCTCAGATATCTGCCTCCTTCTGCTTCCCAAGTTTTAGAGCACAGGTGTGAGCCACCACTAAGGTCATTTTCAATCAGAGTGGTCTGAGGACAGACCGCCAACACGGCACCTAACTCAGAGCTGACAGACCTAAGAACAGATCTCTCATATACATAAAATACACAAATAAATACATCTTTAAAAAAAAATACATTTTAAGGTTAAGTAAAATGGAAAAGCCTAAAAGAAAACAAAAACAAAAATAAAACTAATAATGCTTTAAAATGAAAACAGGATCCAAACCTCCTCTCTGCAGTTTTAATTAACATTACAAAGCATGTGGGACTTGAAAGTTTGGAATGATTTAAGGAATCCCAGGCAATTGCTTCAGATAGTTCCCTTCAACACTGAGCAGGAGCAAACAGCAGTGCTGGCAGCACCAGAGCCCATCTGGAGTGCAGCTGGAACCTGTCTTGCCTAGCAGTAGCCAGATTAGGGACTCTAGCTTAGCTTGACCCCAACCTTGCTTAGTCTGACTAAGCAGAAAGGCCCTTCTGACACTGAAGCATTACTCTCGCCAGCTCTGGTTATCTCAAATCAATGCCATGAGAATTTAAAGACTCTCAGGAAGAAAGTGTCCAGAGACAAGTAAGTCAAAGCCTCAACGCGGTGGCCATGTCCATACATTTTGATACTCACTTGGGAGGGCATAAGACTTCTTCAAGAAATTCCTCAATCTTATTTACATCCGTTTTGACTTCGCTGTTGAAGGTTATAAATGGTGGGTGGGTCCCGGGAGCCAAGTTCTGCAGATCTGCAGGCTTCCTGTTAGGCAAAAACAGTGGTCAGGATGAGATCACCATTCACTCTAAAGTCAGCAGCAAGTTCTCAGGTGGTTCTAAACTTAGAGTGTGTAAGAACGAGCAAGCACCAGCCTCTGCTCACTTAGTCTGCGAGCTGCATGGGGCTCCGATAAGCAGCAGTCCACACCAACCAAAAGACAAACCCTTCCGTCTTGGGCCTGGAAAGAAGGCTCAGAGGATCAGGATGTATGAGGCTCTTACAGAGGACTCAGGCTTAGCTCCAGCACCCACACAGTGCAACTCCCAACCACCTGTAGCTCCGAATACAGAGGATCCGAATACAGAGACACCTTCTCCTATCCTCCGTCTGTGCCAATACTTGTGTGCACAACCACACACAGGCACATGCCTAAAAATGAAGAAGTAAATACATTCTTAAAGATAAAAACAGAAGTTCTTAATTCTCACTCCAAATTCGGCCTGGCTGCTTAAAGGACTTAGGAAAATCAGCCTGTGGCTTCAAACCCAAACACTCACTATCCCTGACCAAGACAGAGGAGCCATGCTTCTCCCGGCCAGCATTTTTCAATTTCCTTTTGTTTTGCCTTGTTTGGGAGTATAAAACAAGAAGAAGAGCAAGCTTCTGCAGTTCTGAACTGCAAGAAGAATTCCCAGTCCCTCTGCCATCCTCATCCAAGTCCAACTAACAAGGAGAAAGACTGCAAGACTCTCTGGTCTCCCAATACATAAAAGACGGCAAGGGCTGATTCAAAATGGAGAAACTATGCAGTGTGTATGTAAGAAAGGCTTGTGCTTTGTTAGGCTTTGTCCAAAGTGTGTTTAAGTCATCCAAAGATGAAGTAAAGCCAGGAGTTGTTGTGAATGTAAACATGTTTTTGTTTTGATTCCAGGTGTAGGATATGGGACTGATTCAGATGGTCCACAGCAGCAACTATTTGCCTCGGGTGGACTCTGAGAAGGGGTACTTTGCCAGCTATAGATAGTTTAAATCCAAGGACTCTGAGGAGGAAATAAAGGCCAGAGCCCAGAGTGTTGGGGAGCTCTGAAAAAGAAGGCGGCTGTTGCTCCTGATGCAGCTGGATGAGAAGTTAGAGATGTTCTGAAACAAAGAATATCTAAGGAACCCAACGACCCTAACCAGCAGGAAGTAGCCTAAGAGAACTACGGCCCCTCTCCCCACTAACCTCCTTTCTCTCCTACTCAGTATTGGGGTGTTGGACGGAATTGGGGTAGAGAAGGGAGGAAGAGGAACAGTTTTTTAAAAGTAGCACTAACAAAGAATAGTAACATACCCTCTTACTCTCAGCAGATTCTGGTGAGTCTGAGGGTAGCCTGTTCTACATAGCTAGCTCAAAGCCAGCCAAAGATACAAAGACCCTGTCTCAAAACAAAGATTAAGTAGATGCAAGTCCAAAGAATTATGTAAGAGGAGGAGAGGCTAGAGAGATGGCTCAGCAGTTAAGGGCACTGGCTGCTCTTCTAGAGGACCTGGGTTTGAATTCCAGCACCCACAGGGTGGCTACAAACCAGCTCTAACTCCAGTCCAAAGGGATCCGATATCCCCTTGTGGCCTCTGCAGACATACACACAGGCAAAACACCCATGTGTCAAATGAAAATAAAATCTACAAAGAAAAGGTAACTGGCAAGAGACAACCAGAAGCTAAGGCAGGAGGATCACAAGTTCCATCCCTGGCCTGTCTGGGTAACACTCGAAGAACAAAGACAGAAGAGTCTGTAAAAGCAGGACGGTCTCAAAAGCAATGAAGAAGTAAGAGACAGACAAAGGGAGCACACAGAAAATGTCAAATATACAAATGCTAACGAAATTCAAAACACAACAAAGAAGACATTTTCCTACAAGGAAAAAATGAAAATAACATAAAACCCTGATAAAGACAGTTATACTTGATGCTTATAATCACCAACAGCAAAGAGCATTGTTTCTGATTCAGTAGGCAGAGGTGGATCTCTGAAACCAGGGCTATATAAAAACCCTGTCATTTAAAAATAATAATAATAATAAACAAAATGGGGTCTAGGAACCTTTCCCTTTGCAGTCCATCTAGACTAGAGAGATGGCTCAGAGTTTAAGAGCACATAATGTTCAGTCTTCCAGCGACCCGAATTCAGTTCCTAGCACCCATATGGGGTGGCTCGCCACCACCTATAACTCCAGCAACTCTTAGGCCTCTTGCACTCATGTGCACGTATCCACATACGGACACACATATACACATAATTTAAAATAATAAAAATAGGGGCTGGACAGATGGCTCAGTGGTTAAGAGCTGCTCTTCTAGAGGACCTGGGTTTAATTCCCAGCACCCACATGGCAGCTCACAACTGTCCTGTAACACCAGCTCTAGGGTATTCACACAGACACATAATGCAGGCAAAATAAATGCACATAAAATAAAAACAATAAATCATTAAAAATAGCAATAATTAAAATATTGAATACATAAATCATCCTCTTAGCCCAGTGTGGTAAGCTGACACCTATGGCCCCAACACTCAGGACTCTGAAGCAGAATCAATAGCTCCAGATAAGCCGAGGCTGCACAGGGTTCCAGGCCGGCAGGAGTCACAGCATGAGACAAGCAAAAAGAAAACATCCATAGTACCTGGAGACACACAATGAGGCTAGGAATGAAATGGGAGGACTTACCTAAAAATATTCCAGAAAAGAAACTAAGGCTAGAACATCACACACACACACACACACACACACACACACACACACACACACACAAAAAAAAAAAAGATAGATTCTGGTGACTGAACTGGAGGTATCGAAAAGTGTTTCCTTTTTTTTTTTAAGACAAGGTCTCATGTAGCCTGAGCTGGCCCCAAATTCACTGTGTTCAAATTTACTTGAACCAATGTCCAAGCTGGCACAGTTCTACTCCCCTTGCCTCAGTCTCCCCAGCACTGAGATTACAGGCCATGGGCTACCCACCATAGCTGGCTAATTCTATTCTATTTTAAGTCTTCCATAATTAAAAAAGTAAACTCTAAGCTATTAAAAAAAAGAAAAGTACCTAACAATATATATCAAAGCGCTTCCCACAACCCTCACAACCCACAGAGCTATTTATCTTATTTTAAAATTAGCTGGCCTGCCTGCCCTCTTCCTTCCTTCCTGATCACAAATGCAAAGAATTTGAATTTAAAATATCGTTAAGTATATCACAAAGGGGAATTACTTTGACATTAAAAAGGATTTCCAAAAGAATGGGCCCTAGACACCAGGGACCAAATGAGTAACAGCTTCTTTGGGACTGGATTTTATCACCACACTTAGAGACATTAAGACATGCTAAATAGAGGTAGGCAAATAAAATTCCAGTATCACCCTAACAAAGCATTAAAGAAGGAGGTAGGTTACATCAGTTTAACTTTAATGGAGTTAGGGGTTCAGAGTTGGCTGTGCAGGATCAAGTGGTTTGTGATAATAAAATCTGATTCGTTCAGAGGATTTACTCAACAGTGGAACATGAAGCCAGGCATACTTATGATTAGCATTTCTATTAATATTAATGACTAGTAGGTAGTCTATCTTATTTCTGCTTGAAAGCTATATGGGTTTTGAATGCAACAAAGGCCATAAAGCTGCTTTCAAGGCTTAGCTGTTGAGAGGAAGATTTGGGGACAAGGAGAGGAGATTTGGAGACAATGTCAGATCCTCTGAATTGATAAGCAGCAGCAACAAAAGAGGAGTGCCAGGAAGGGCCTATGTAGCTGCCACACAGAGCCACCTGTGACTTCTAGCCATCCCCTGGCACATTAAGGGCCTCAGTGTTCCACATGACCCACAAAAGCTTTTACAGACACTTTCCAGAAAGTGGCCGTAGCTTGAGATAAACCACTAGGCAACGGCTGAACATTCGAGGACATTGGCTTATTTCCTGAAGGGCCTTCAACACACATCCCACAATTCACTTAGGCTCATTTAAGTTTCCCTAAGTGACTTCCCTAAGCTCCCGCCTTGAAATACTGCCTGGGCTGTGCAGAGGCTCCAGCGCTGAGGACTTGTCTCCGACCGGAGCCTTGGTTTGCTCTGGCAGTCTCCTGACTGAGTCACACTAATCTGCTCTTTCCCATTTTGCTTCTAAATGGAAAACAAAAACAAGAGAGAGAGACACAAAAACAAGAAAAAGAACGAGAGAAAACAAGGAGAAAGGAAACCCAATTGGAGCTAATATGGGAAGCAGCTTAAGTGGTTTAATTTCAATTAAAATTTCATTCACCCCACGGGAAACAACTGGAAGGTGTGAGGCTGCTGGCTCAGCTCCAGTTGCTTGGCATAAAATGAATGTGGCACAACTATCCCTCATGGGAGCTGGCTCGTGTGGGTCACCTGTCTGCCTGAAATGCAGAAAAGGACTGAGTATGTCTCTTGAGCTGTTTCAAAGGCACCAATTTTCAAAGCATGCCATTATACATACGTGTGTGTGTGTGTGTGTGTGTGTGTGTGTGTGTGTGTGTGTGTGTGCAAAAACAAAGAGCACCCAGTCTCACAAAGGTTACTAGCAGGGGGCCTCTAGCTGTTTCATAATATTTTATTTCAGTTAGTTGCTCCTTACTGTTTTCTGTCTGCAGTCTTCTGGCTTGACTAATGAAATCACAGCTGAGTACTCACAGGCCCAGTAAAAGCAGTTACAAAATCTCACTGATTTTTGCTACGTGTTTTAATCAGCCCATTTTTGTCTAATTTCAGGATCAATTTGTGAAGCAATGGTGGTTTTCTTCGTTTGTTTTGTTTAAGACAAGGTTTCTCTGTGTAACCTTGGCTGTCCTAGAACTAGCTCTGTAGACCAGGCTGGCCTCGAACTCACAGAAATCTCTCTACCTCTGTGAAGCAACATTTTAAAACTAAAGTGTCACTCTAGACTTCAGAATGCATTTTAATAACACAATGTACAAGTAGAATTTGTGTTGATAAGAAGTTTAGAAAAATATTCATTATGGGGCTAGAGAAATGGTTCAGGGTTAAAGA